AGAGAGAGAGAGAGAGAGAGAGAGAGAGAGAGAGAGAGAGAGAGAGATCAGGTATACTATAGCTCTGCAAAGTCTTAGAAGGAAACAATGGATGGAAACTAATCAAGGAAAGGAGCAACCTGGAATTAAGGAGAAATGTCCTAATAGTGAGAAAATTAACCCTGGAACAGCTTGCCGTCATAATTTGTGGGTGTTTCATCACTGGAGGTTTTCAAGAAGAGACTAGACAGGTTGTCTGAAATGGTATAGGGTCCCCTGCTTGAACAGGGGATGGACTAGAAGACCTCCAAGGTCCCTTCCAGCTTCTATTCTTCCCTCCCCTTCCTTTCTATCCTATAAACAAGGTATAGCATAAAGGAGTGAACCTGAAACTTTCTGTAAGCAAAACATGTGGTCTCTACTGAACTGCCAAGCACCAGGCAGGACTTAAAAAAATAATAAAGATCAAAATAAAAACAAGGGAGAAAAAAAAACTAAACTAAAAATAAATTGAGTTGAAATTTGGTCAAAATCTAATCTCTCTTTTTTTAAAGGGAGAAATAATAGAATGATGCAAGCAGTTGTCTTTTGTCATTTCTGTTTTCTACCTTTGTAATTAAGAATTAATACTGACCAATAGGATCACTTTGACCAATTTTTATTACTAATGACAAGCAGTAAAGATGTGCCATTAAAGTGATAAGAAAATACTGATCTCAGCAATTAATTTCAATGTGAATGGTAAGAAAATAGACTTTATTTACAAATGCTAACCTTACCAGGAATAGACAAGACAGGAAAGCCTATTTTAATTTCAAATTGCAGAACTACTAAATGTGTCACTCTGTATCATTTTGTGGCAATACATTTAATACACGCAGGCACACACAAATAGATACTTTCTTGGTGTCAATGTAACATAAAGAGATAAAAAAAAAAACAATATTAAGAAAATACTGTATATTTATATAATCCAAAAAGTAGGACAAAGTTTTCTTGTGTAAATAAATGGCAGCTGAAAATATTATGCATTTCTTTTAAAGTTGTTATGGTTATAGTCATAACAATAAAAAGTAAATAAAATCATTCATAGGTTTTTAACAAATAAACTTATAAGAATAGGATGCATACAAGTAGAATTCATTTACCAACAGTAATTGGGCCAGAATTTTCACTGCTTAACAATGCAATTGTAAAACACTACAGGTACTCCTCAACTTACAACCACAATTGAGCCCAAAATTTATGTTGCTGAGACATTTGTTATGTGAGTTTTCCCCATTTTACGATGTTTCTTGCCATTGTTGTTAAATGAATCACTGCAGTTGTTAAGTTAGTAACAGGTTGTAAAATGAATCTGACTTCCCGTTGATTTTGCTTGTCAGAAGGTTACAAAAGGTGATCACATGACCCTGAGACATTGTGACTGTCATAAATATATGAGCCAGTTGACAAAGTGTCTGAATTTTGAGCATGTGATTATGGGGATGCAACAATGGTCCTAAGTGTGAAAAATGATCATTTTTCAGTGCCGCTGTAACTTCGAACAGTCACTCAATGAACTGTTGTAAATCGAAGACTACCTGTATGTTATGTGCCTATATTGCCTAGCAATAGCAATCCCAACAGTCCATAGTTAAACCAGAATCACAAGTCATTAAGTAAGGATGTCCTGGCAACTACTTGCTGGCTTCCAACAAGCAAAGTCAATGAGAAAGCTGGCAGGAAGTTGCAATTCCTGGGCAGTTTGCAAGCAGGCTAGCGGTGGGTAAGTGCTATGGAACGGGGCCAATTAGAGAGGTGGCTGTTGCAGTATGGTGTACGTGCTGCCAAGTGCTGATGCCTGTTACAAAGGTGGGAGGGCACACCACCATGTGGCTGTCATGGTGTGAGCATGATGACCAGCTTGGTAGAGGTACCGGGGGGGGGGGGGAAGAGATAACTGCATATGGGCGCTACAGAATATGAAATCCCCACAAATCTTGAATTCTATAGCCGGGCTCAAAAGAAAAGATGGAAGGAGTGGCAGTGAGTTACAGGAGTGACTTGCAACCTTCCCTGCCATGATCATGGGATGCTACAACTGCCGTATGTTTAAGGTAGTTGACAAATGCCTGGATTTAATCGTGTGACCCCACTGGAACAGCTACAACATTGACAACCAGTTGTAAAATCACTCATTCAGGACCATCAAAACTGAATGGTTGCCAAATGAATGGCTGTTAAAAAGGACTATCTGTGTTGCTTCAGAAAGAATACTGAAAGAGACGTGGGCTGGAATCTCAAGGTTTCTCCATGGCAGAAGGGCAGGTTTTCTCTGCAAACATTGTAATACCTTTGTACTGTTACACTTTCATCCAATATATGGAAGGAAAATGAAGTAAAATAGGCCAAAGAAAGAGCTCTATAGTATGTAGGCAGATAATACTGAATAGGTAACCTGCTGGTGTAAAGAGTTTCCCGATTATTTCTGCCAGTATTGGCTATATAAGTCATCTGATCTTAAGAGCTCCATGAAATACTCGCTGCTGGATTGTGGATGTAACTGCTGATACCTCCCCCCACACTTTGGTTAAGACAGGGGTGTCAAACTGGCAGTCCTAGGGCTGGATGTGTCATGCGCAGGGCATGTCCACCCTAGTTCCTCAAAGGGAAAAACGTAGCGAAATGTCACATGATAGCAACATGACGCTGCAAGTTTGGCGCTCATGTTTTAGAAGAAGAACAACAGAAGAACAATGTGAGAAATAATACTGACATAGTTAAATCTGATTTCTAGTTTTCCAGAATAAAGAAAATTTATTTAGAAAGATCATAGATCTAAGGATTAATTGAAAAAGTGATACTTGAGCCAAAATTAGAACAAGGCCATGCAGATTCGAGATTCCAGAGGGAACATTTCAACATTCTTAGAAACCTAGATTGGCAAATATCTAAAGGTTTTAATTATTATACACATAGAGAAAGCCATGTATAATATCTTGAAGATTTTTAAGGCATCAAGTGTGTCTTTCTACATTCTTACAAGCTCAGGATGGCTTTTAATATTGATCCTGTCAGAAATGGATTTAATTTTAACTATTTTAGAATAGTTTATTACAAAGCCATTCCTTATTACATCAATGCAATAAGATGCACAGACTTCTTAAAAGGCCAACCTGAGTTGAAGAAAGAATAATTATATCATCACCTTAAAAAGTACAGCTAGCTTTGTATTATCAACTGGGGGAAAAGACATGTGGAAAGTGATGGAATTTTACTTTGGTTAAAATGGTAGAAACTCAACTCATATAAATATTGAGGGTTCAGAACATAAAACAGTTTAATTGTTCAGGAAAAAAACAGAA